ATGAAGTGGGGGGAGGACCGCCATAGCTCAGGTCGGAACCCAAAGGCGTCCAAAGATTCTCAAGGCCCTCCAACAGCACCGGCTTAGCCACACGTCATTCACCTCCCGATGTCGCCCTCTCCAGCTCCAGCTCCGACCTCTCCAGCGCAGATGGGCAGGCCTGGCGCAAGCGCCGCGCCCACCCAGACCAAACGTCAATCCTTGGGACCCAGACCAGATGGGTGTGCATTAAACAAATTAAGATAACCTCCTGGAAGGCTCGGACACTAGACCAGTCTACCCAGATTTTGGGTGTCTCCCTCTTAGAATCCACACCCATCATTTTGCGAAATCGGTCGCCGGCCCCGTTGGAATGATGTTCCCAGTCCCCCCGGAGGTCTCTGTTGGACGGCCAAAAACTTAACAAAACGTCAGGGTAACGGGTTACTTTTGGGGCATTTTATGGGTGCCTTCTGGTCTTCGCAACGTCCAGAGTTCAAGGTCGGTAGGGTGACTCCCGGTCGCAGCCACAAGGTCAGTAAGGGATCAGTGTTTTAGTCATTTTAGTCCCAATCCAGCGGCTATCCTTTGCCTAGATCCACTGGGCCAGTGAATTTTTGTGCCCTCTCTGAGCAGTGCAGGACCTCTGGTGAAGTAATGAAACTGTTTCCTTAGTAGTTCCTTGAGGATCACCTAATTGAGGCTTCTTCTTGGGTGCAAGAGATGAACAGTGGAAGACGTGCCAAACACCTCTTTCGCTCTTCCCTTTCGTCCTCATTCACTCTGAGAGCTGCAGATTGCCACCCCATCACCGAGCTGGGCCGACTGACATCGCTTCCAACGACACGGCGGCGCGATGGGCGCGGGGCCTCAAAGCCGAATTCGCTCCTCGCGTACTGCAAGGCGTCCGCGATGGTCATTCGGTCGTCTCCATCTGAATCATATCCTCAATCCGGCGCTGTCCAGCCACTCAAGTCAGCCGAACAGCAAGGTATTGAACCAATGGCAAATGGACGTACTTCCAAATAAACACCCGAGTCCGAACAGTGCCCTGTTCGGAAGCCAAGGGAATTCACCTTCCGCGGAACGTTCCGGGACCCGGGCTTCCGCCGCACCGCACCATCTTCTAAAAAAAACCATCCCATGGATGATGTCTCCCTCCAGTCGTCGATCCCGGTTTTGCAATCAACGACTACCCTGGAATCGACGACTGGAATCATGCAATTGGAAAAGCACCACCTCCACAGCACCTGACACAGGGGTGACTACACTCCCTGAAAAAGACGGTCGAGTTCACCACCTGTTTGGCTCCGGAAGATGGTCATCCGAGTCATCGGGGCCATGCCATCCACGTCACAGAATTGCTTCTGGGGAGTGTAGTGCTTCAAGCTTTTCGGAAACTCCCCCGACCCACTGGACAGCTCACAAAAGCTGCACAACAAGCAAGCTCTTGAAAGTTCAACCCGCAGAATGTGAAGAACATCGAAGGTTTATATATAGTCACAAACGTCGATGACGACTTGTACCAGAAAAAGAAACTACAGGCAGCTACCACAAAGGTTGTTGTCCAAGTATGACATGTGTGAACACACGGTTGCTCACCCAGCGCCTTGGATGGGCTTTTCTCTTCACCTCCAAGCACCAGCTCCCAGCTCCCAGCTCCAGTGACACCCATCTAAGACTCGTTTGAAGATGGCCTTCTCTCGTTCCAGCAAGGCCTCCGCCAGGCCTTTGCGCTCCAGCGCCTCCAGCGCCACGGCCCTCCGCTGGAGCGCCACCTTTTTGCGCGACATCTGGGTGATCGAAACGCGAAGGAAAGCATAGGAACCGTACGAGTCGACCTGGCTTTCTCTTCATCCCAAAAAGTGCAGAAGATGCCTATCAACAATGACTGACCTTTCAACTGTCCGGAATGTCTGGGATTTGTTTCACAGCGCGGCTTGCTGCAGCAGGAGTTTTCATCGCAAATGTGGCTGGTCCATGACAAGCAGCGACTGTTGATCCCCTTCAAAACAGAAGAGTGGGAGGCAGAATGTAGACGGTTAATTATTAAAAGCCATAAAACATTACATGTGCTTGTAAATCCTCTTCCTACGGGCGTGTTTCATTCATCAACCGTCGATTTCATAAGATTTCGGTGGCTGCTGAATCCGCGGCCATCCCGCAGGACTTCTGACACCTCCTTGGATCACATGTCAAAACAGTTGCTCTAGCGCATGTTTGCTTTTCAAATGTCTGGCAGGGACCTTTGGAGGGACTCCATTTCAAAGAAACCAGTCGGACCCCTTCTACTTGACAGAAACCATCCTTGTTGTTCCTAAGAGTTGGCCGAAGCCCATGCCAAACGCCAATCCGAAACAATTACAGTACTTCACCTACCAACCCAACATAAAGTTGACCGTTTGCCACAATATGCCACAATTTCTTTCTCTGGGAAACCAATCCTCAACGGTATGAATTTCTGAATGGGGTAAGAACCCACCAGCCGAGACCTCTCCAACCCCTCTAGGCCTCGCGGATCGAGGCCATGCCACTAGCGCCCAAACGCTTCCCTTGCGCCGTTGAGGCACGCCCGATCAACGGCTGAAGGAGCTCCTCTGCGGGCGAGCTCGCGCCAGCCACGTGCTTAAGCGCGTACGCACGCTGCGAACTAGTTCGCTGCTACTGACTTATGGATTTAGACAGCTAGAGGAGGTAGGGAACACTTACCCAGACCCTGTTGTCAGGCATAGTCCCAACTTCTGCAAATCTGACCTGACAAAATCTATTGCCATGAAACATGAAACATATGAAACATATAACTTCCTTGCTAGGTGGTCCCACCTATGTTCATTGAGCCATGCTTCTCTCATGTCTCCCAAGCAGTTTTTGAATCAAACACTGAGGAAAAGAACCCTGGATGCACAAGGTTCTTCTCGAAACCCACCATCGAAAATCCTCACTGGTTGGGATCTGAAAAGATGTCGTTCCATGCAAAACTGTGGACTTTTCGACTTATCAACACTATCCAACACTAGTAGGTCTGCAATGACTACGCCACTTTTGCTGCTTTTCACTCGGCCAAAGCACAAACGCTCGCCGTGCCGTCCATGCCTTGCCGGGCCTTCCGTCGTAGTCCACCTCTCAGGTCGAACGCTCCGATCCACCCGACGCCACCGGGTCCCACTGGAGGCATGTCAAATAACGGGACCACCTGGACACAATAGTATCATGAAGTATCAATGAGTGACAGGGTGCCCATGAGAGAAATACTTCTCATAGGTCAATGATCAACATATGTCACCGCATGAACTAGCATAAACCTTTGTTGTGTTCTCAAGAAAGAACCTCCAAAACTCCTGGCTGTCGGTTGGGGTCCATGCGAAGGCCAGCACCGGCCATCGACCCAAAATAGAAACAAAGGCCGAAGGCCGCCAGCAGCGGCCTCCGCGATGGCTTCGGTATTTTCCTTCACAAAGGCCATGCAGGTCTGAAAAGCCTCCTCCACCACCTGCGCCGTTGGTCACTTTTTGGGCCGCAGGCCAAAAGCGCGAGGCCACAGCTGGGAAGCGGTGGGGTTTTCCAACCGTGGCGGCGGAAAAGATGTCTTTTCAGGCTAAGAGGGATCAGAATACCCCAGACACTCCATGTATAGCATATTTCCATTCATCCCCAAAACCGCCTACATGTAAATAATATTGCATGCATGGAGTGCGTGTGTATTATGCGTGGGTATACTATGCCAGACTTCTCAAATTCACACTTCGGTGCACCCTTGGTGTTCTGCTCTCATCGCCAAACTGCTGGGTGTCTTCACATCTCCTGACCGGACGTGAGATACTTTGAACGCTATGTTGGAGGTCAACTTGCTCTGGAAATCCCTGCATATCATGAGCGCCGAAAAATATCCACTAACTCAAGTGGCCCATCAATCTCTTCATTCATCTCCTCATTCTTTAAAAGGGGTTGAAACATTTGGTCTAAAGTACGCTTGGACAACGCCGAACAAAAACATCCCCCCGCCACGAGCAGATGTCTTTGAGTTTGAGTGGGACACTGGTAGTAACAAGAAGCTACTAGTAACAAGTGCATCGCTAGTAGTAACAAGTGCCTTACTAGTAGGAACAAGGAGCTAGTAATTTAAACTTATTTTTCATGTGGTTTTCCCTGCTGACGGCGACGGTCCACGGTGACTCCACGTACTTCCAACGTCCCACGGTGCCCCGGCCCCCCGTTCTCCGCCCGGGTCGGTCGCCTTGTCGGCCTGCACGACGGCCTCGGTCCAGCACTCGAGCTCTGCGTCGCTGGGAGCCTCCGAGAACAATGAGGACTGGAGGACGGGTAGAGTCGGGTAGAGATGTTCATGCTGGTACATATAAAAAAGAGCTAGACTCTATCCTGACCTATGTAATGCACCTGAAATCATATGAATGCGGATACTAACGAACTCTGGACCCCGGCTTGATTGGAGCACCGCAGTAAAGAAACGCTGGCTCCAGCCGTGTTTCTTGCTTTTCAGAGGTGATTCTGAAATGTGATTGAACACCTAGACAGTGTTGAGTTGAACACTCATGAGAACACTCATGAACTTCTACATAGGCGGTATTCTACTTCCATGAGTGGGGGCAACAGCAGTGTGGCTGACGTGCATGGCATGACAGCGCAAAGAACGCCTCAGTGGTGTCCTCAAGGCTGTTGATCTTTTCCTCCAAGCTTTCGGCCATGGCTTCCACGTTTTCCACGTATTGCTCCACCTCAGCACGTTTTTGCAGAGTCTGCCGTCGGGAGAAAAATAGCACCACTTGTCTTCTGTGGTTGAGATAGTGCACGCCTGATCACTGGGCCAGAAAATGTGCTAGACCTGCGAGACAAAGGCAGTATCCGAACATGTCTGCTTTCAACAAGCAAAACGGAGGTGCCCATCCCCAATATATAAAGCTGGCCCTCTGAACAACCAACGCCTTGTGTCCCGATGTCCAATGATCATCCAAGCTTTGGAACCTGCCACCTTCACTCTCCAGAGCACTCCAAACATCTCCAAACTAATCAGTTGACTCAAGAATCACACCAAGGAGCGTTCTGCGAAAGAAAATGGTAATAAAGATAATAAAGTAGTAACGTTGTATATCAGAAAACTTGTCTTCTTCGTCCTCTCCCACCTGTTCGATGAGCTTTTTCGAGGCCTCCTCTTGCTGACGCTTCGATTCTTCAGCCTCCCTCTTCTTCATGTCTGCACGCTGAAGGAATTGGGCGATCCTGGGCATTCGCGAGCATTGAGCGCAACGAAGCCCTTCATAGAGGGGTGTTTGCTTTTTAACTCTCAAAAGAAGTAATTACTACATAGTATATCAGATGATGCATTTGGTAGATTCCGTACATTGGAGGACGTCCACAGCGGACAGAAAAAAATACTAAAAGGAAAACTCGTAACGACTCATATCTGGACAACAAACATCAACATCAGCATCGCCACAGCAGCAGCAGCAGCAGCAGCAGCAGCCGCGGCAGCGGCAGCGGCAGCGGCAGCGGCAGCGGCAGCGGCAGCGGCAGCGGCAGCGGCAGCGGCAACGGCAACAACAGCAGCAACAACGAGTTCTCTTGTTGGATTCTCCAAGTTGATAAAGTCAAATTTCCGAACTGCTGAACTGCCTCCCGGAAACTTGGAGACTCTCAACTTCGCCTCATGCTTCACCTTTTCCGCCTCAACTCGCAGGCTTCGCCCGAGCAAATCACCTTCCTTCACCATCAACTTGTCGACCTCCGATGGCAATGGGCAGTGGGAACATAGATGATCTGCGAGGTTGTATGTGTGTGTGTGTGCGTCTATTATACCAAGGGCACAAGGCTACTCGGTTACCCCAATATGGACACTGAAGACAGGGTGTCATTTGTAGAGGGAAACCGTTAAAAAAAAAACAACCCATTTCAGGGTCCATATTGGTCTTCCTGAATGAAAATCCCTCCCACATTTGACCCTTGGGGGGTGTCAGAACTGTTGGATGCTCTATTTAATCATCATGTTTGGAGAATGAGCGATTCTTTTCAAGGAAAAAGGTTCATACATTTCCCTGGGTCACACGATGATGGACCGGGATCCCAAAAGGCAGCTTGAGTACTTAGGTGAAACCGAACAACCGACTCACTGGGGAAAACAAGACGATCGAAGCAGCTCAACGTCCCAATCAATTTCACACAACAGACATCCTTCACCAAGTCTTCTCTTTGTGAAAAACCATCTCTGCCTCGGGCAGAAATAACCCCCCAACCCGTGAGCCCTCAGATCCGCAAAGCCACCTCGAGGGTGAGTTCTTTGATGGTGGCCGGCTTTGCGAGCCGTAACTTCTCTAAGGCTCTTCGAAGCAGGAGGCGCACGTGATGTTCACGTTCCTGAGAGCTCGACTGTGTCTCTCGGCTCTCACGCCTTTAGAGCCCACACTGCTGGGAGGGTAGGAGAGCGGCACGCACGAAAGACCACGGACTAGTGGGAAATCAACCGAACTGTTTAACAAGCAATGGGTAAGCTACCTACACTATGCAACCCAGTCCAAGTGTCCTTCCTCTCAGCTTCCATGATCTTTCTTCTTTCGAGCTCCTCTTGTCTTTGGATCACCAGCCTCTCCCGTTCCTCTTGGAGACGAATGGAAATCTGCTCATGTTGTCTCATCAGTTCAAGCTCCTGCGCAACCCTCGATCCGACGCAAGCCGTCCATCCCGCCCATCGGAGCGATGGCGAGTGTGAAGCTTGGACTCTGACAAAATTCCGGGGCGTCATGGACAACCATATATTAAAAATATACCTTCAATCAAAGACCATGGGTGAACGATGCCTAAAAGTCCACCTGCTAAGAAATGTGCGTTTGGATGTATTTGTTTGCATTCTGGGGAATGTGGTTGCATCAAGGATGCAATTCGGTCACTGGGAAACAGAGAAAACATGAACAAGAAAACACCTGAGGGCCGCTACTGTGTCTCAGTATGTTCGGTGTCTGGACTTGCCACAGGAGCAACATTAACCTGTAACCAAGCATGACGACAGTCTCTGGTGGGCCCTGTGCGGAAACGGCCTGAACCACAACAAAAGCCAACGATCTGGGCAATTTAGATTAATTCCTAGGTCGTCGGTTATTTTCATTATTTTCAAAACTAAATTTAGTGACGTCGTCTAAATTACGAAATTATTACGAAATTATCGTTACGATATGCGACTGAGAGAATAATAGACGGGTCGATTTGATGGTTATATTACATATTTACAGAATAAAATATACACACACATCTACCCTGGCCTTCCAAAACCCTTCAAAGAATACCTGACTTTGTAGTCCCGAGTGCCTATTCCAAAACACTAAAAAGAATGATGCACTATTAGACTCCTAAATTAACCTGCACCGAAGGTGCTGAGGCTGCGGAGGCCTTGAACTATAACAATGCATTCGTCGCTATATAGCTTTGGTTCGGGGTGTTTTTCGTTTGGGAACGAAAGTGCGTATTCTGCATCATGAGGTGTGTCTGGGAGAGGGCGGGAGATAAGATGGAAAACACATGGTGTTCACATATCAAGTATGTCTGACTATTTTTCCATTATCTCATTTGCATCACCACGTCCATGACAGGCAAACAAACGACTCCTCTCAACAGTCTGAGTCTCAACATATCTTTCATGAATACATCATATGCATCAGCTGGTTGCAATTGAATAGCTAATTATTGTAGCATATGCATCAGCTGGTTGCAGGCGCAAAGTTTTTTGTACAAAATGCCTACCAGTGTGTACATTTGGGACCTTCTGAAAGACGTACATGTTCAAGGGGGTCGGCAATTATTGCAAACATGTTGTAAGAGCGTCCAACAAATAGAACTTGTAAGAGAGTCTAAAAATAGAGTAATTGTGAATACTTCTTTTACCCTCTCTCTCAGAGCCACTGGTGCGGGCGGTTGTCATCGCGAAGCCACCTGAAGACAGCTTACCTTGCTGTTAAATAACCGCCTTCTTTTTTCTATTACTAAATTACAATAAATTACACACAAGTTCATGTTGATTAAGCACCCACCCACTAGAATCACCACCCATCGTGCCCCGCACCAGCGACACGCTGCATCAACAGAGTTTTGCACACTCATGTGCACCCTTCCCCAATAGCACAGAGCCACACAAACACGCTTTCCACCGAGGCCTCGCGAAACCGCATGCCAGTGACATCACTTTTCCACATCTTTATGTCAGTCTGATGAAGCTTACAAGCGAAGAATGTCGAAGAATTATATACTATTAAATTTATACAGGTTTTGTAAAGGGACAGGGAAGACCTTTCAATCTGGGGGGATTAATGTTTGATACGAGTTTTGCAAAGGCGTGTCCATCTTTGCGGGTCCCTCTAATTTGGGGAGCCCATGACTCCCTACGGCCCTACGAACAAAAACGACACCGAAGTTCTTTTTTGGGGGGGCTGGTTTCAAATTGGTGGAAGAGATTAGTTTAACATCCTTAGATTTTCTTACAGTAACTCAATGGGGGTATCTCCTCAATAGCAAAAGGCCATCTATATGGCCTGAGCAATGTCACGCCCACGTCTGGAGGGCTCTGAAAACCCCTTCGAACGCCGCACTGATGGGAACAATTTTCCGGAGGACGGGATCGGACACAGCCCTGCATCCACCGACCCGACCGACCCGTCTTTGTTGGAGTCCGGAGTTTCATGTTTAGTGTGAAAAAGAACCTCATCACCGGGTGTTTTTCTGCATCCGGAGTAGTGTCGGAGTGTACATCCACAAGTATAGGGACGCCTGGAACCTGCCCCTGACCATCCATTCTGCATGCACACAAACCCGACCTCCCCTACTAGCTCGTTGCGAGACTTCTTCAGTGGAAAGAACATCGGAATATATATATATATATATATCACTGCAGCCTTCTTTTCCGCTCATTCAAAGACTCCCTGGCCTCCTGGTGAGGCTCCCTG